GGTAAGGCTGACATATTTTTTGTTAACATATTTGTCTTCTGTTTATTAATTTTAAAGCCAGCTAATATCCCACAGTCTGTTAATTTTTCCATTAATATTTCTATTCCTTCCAGAGGATCTTCCAAAATTATCACCAGGTCGTCAGCAAATGCCTGTAGTTTATAAATTTCTCTTTTAATCTTCACTCCAGCAATTCTCTCATCTTGCCGTATATCTCTATTCAATACTTCCAAAGCTAAAATAAATAGCAGTGGTGACGAGCATCCTTGTCTAGTCCCTTTCTGTATCTCACAAAGTTTTGTTAATTCCCCATTCACAATTATCTGTCCCTTTTGTGAAGTGTAAATCGTTTTATCCATTTGATAAAGTTCTCACCAAAGTCCATATCCTCCAAAATTTTAAACAAGAAAGTCCAGTTCTTATTGTTAAGGGCCTTTTCTGCATCAAGAAAAATCAGTGCTGCTTGTTTTTCATTATTGTTCTAATTATTCCAAAATATCCAATACTTTTCTAATATTGTCCCTCAGCTGTCTTTTAGGTAAAAACCCATATTGATCTTCATGAATAAAGTCCTGTAAAACCATCTTCTTTCTGTCAGCTAAAATCATTGTAAATAACTTATAATCATGATTCAGTAATGATGTTGGATGGTAATTTTTTGGTGACGTCAAATCTTGACCTTCTTCAGGTATTAATGCTATATTAGCCTCTATCCAACTGTCCGGTATCTTTCCAATCTGTAAAATGTGTTGCAACGGTTGTGGTAGTTCGTCTTCAAAATGTTTATAAGAAGAGGCTGGTAAACCATCTGGTCCAGACACTTTTCCTATTTTGACCTTTTGTATAGCTTCACAAACTTCCTTTATTGTTAAAGTTTCATTAATTGTTTCTGTTTTTCTGCGATCTTCAGTAAATATTACTTCTTTAAGTATTCATCAACCTTTGCCAGGGAAATTTCTTCTCCTTTATATAATTTTGAGTAATATTGATGAAATATGTTTTGCATCTTTAAATTATCAGTTGTTGTGGTATTTCCATCTTGTAGTTTTAATATCATTTTTTTTTTCTTTCCTCAGTTTATATGCCAACCATTTCCCTGGCTTATATGCAAAATCAAAATTCTTTTGTTTTGCATAATTCATTTTTACCTCCATTTCTCTTACTGTTAGGAAAGACAACTGCCATTGTAAAAGTTTAATTTGTTGTGGAATAATTTTCCTTTTTGGGAATTTCTTTAATTCTTCTTTCATTTTTATCTGATCTAAAATTTCCTGTGTTTTCTTTTGTCTCTTTTTTTAAGTTTGCTATTATGTTGTATGAAATATCCCCCCGTAAAAGCTTTACTTGTGTCCCAAACCATTCTTATATCTGTACCTTTATTAAACTTATCGTTAAATAATTCTTTTAACTTTTTGTAGTCTTCCATTGCTGTTTCTTTCTGCAACAATGTTTCATTTAACCTCCATCTGAAGGAATTGATTTTCCTTTTAAATACTAAAGTCACTGATTGTGCTCTGAAAAAGTCTTTGGCAGTATCTCCACTTTGTGAACATTAGTAGCCAAATTCTTAGATATCCAAAACATCAATTTTTGAAAAAAAATTCTGTGTCTTTCAGAAAAATAAGTATATTCTTTTGCATCACCATTTTTGTGTCCCCATACATCTACCAGCTCTAAATTGTCCATCATGTCAAAAAAAACCCCAAACAACTTTTGGTAATTTCCCTTGTGTTGTTTTAATATCTTTCCTGGAGGTTCTGTCCCTTTGTGGGCAAATTACTCCATTCCAGTTCTCCCATTAAACACCAATTTTCATATAGTAAGTCCATGGTAATTGGGGTTTTTTATACAAAATAACTCCATTTCTGTTTTTAACTCTTGCTGAAATAAATTCTTCACCCAGATTTTTGCAAATGAAATATTTTATATCCTTTTTTCTAATATATGTTTCTTGCAAATAGTCTACATCTTGTTTTAATTTTTTAAAGTAGTAAAATAATTTTCTTCTCTTTTGAGGAGCATTTGCTCCATTTATATTCTCTGTTAGGCATTTATAATCCATATTTATGCCGAAAACTTAGAAAAGTCAATACCTGTAGTGCCTAACATGTTAGTCTCCTCCTCAGTTTTTTGTTGTTGCTGTTCAGAGTCCAGAGTGCTAGGGCCCTTTGTCATTTCCATTTGCATTTCTTCAAGTTCCTCTTTAACTTTTCTAAAAATTCTCTTGCTTTTTGCACTGAGTTCGTCAGAGTCTCCTTTAGTGTTGTTTAAAACTAAAAGCCACTCCTTCCAATTTATCCCACTGAAATGGTATCTTATTCTTAACTCAAGCTTTTAACTCAAAATTAGAATCTCTTCAACTAGGATGGGCAAAGGACTTGCTCTCCATCCTTTTAGTCTTGTTCTAGTCATCCTTCCTTATTGGAACATTTGTCTTAAGTGACACAGTCTTTTCTCATAGAACGCTTGTTAATTTAGCTGACCTGAGCTTTTGAGTAGTGTGTGAATCTTCATATATTTTTCTTTTGTCTTTTGTAATGTTACATCATATTTATGGGCATCCCAATTTGCAGTTTATGAAATGAAAAAATGCCAGAATTCAAGGTAGCTATTTTGGAATTAATAGTTACCTGTCACAGTAACCATAAAAGGCCAGTAGTGAGATACAAGCAAAAGGTCTATATTATATCTTCATTGTACTATAAATGATACATCAGTTTGTAGACCATATTAAAAAAAAAACATAAAAGTGGAACATGCTATTAAAAGCTGATGCTTTTGTTCTTGAGGTTTTCTGATAGATGAAACAGAAATAAAAACCATAGTTGTCACTGTTATTCTTGGAAAATGGCTTTTAATCAACCTTTTGCCACATTACACTAGATGCACTCTGAACCACAAGATATATTGTCTTTTGTTATTTTGAGTCTTTGTTCCATTGTGTAGATTTTTGTTTTGTGAGTATGAAGTGGAATAACACTTTCGTGAAACCATTGCTCAAAGCTCTTGGAAGGAGGATGGTAGTATTCTGGACTGAAACAGGCTTATATTTGACAAATGTAGTATTTATTTGTTTGTTTGTTTTAATTTATTTAAACAATTTATACAGCAGCAACTCTGGGCAGTACTCAGAGGATTAAACCCTGCAAAACAGGATCATAATATATTGGAAAGGGTCCAGATAATCCAGTTCCTCCAGAGCTTTCTGGAACAGCAAACTAACCACATTCTCAACAACCTTCCCTGAAAAGGGAAGGCTGGAGACTGGATGGAAATTCTTCAGTTTCGTTAGACATGTTTGTGTGAATGCATGTCATGGTAGATATACAGGTAGTCCTTGCTTAATGACTGTTCATTTAATGATGGTTTGAAGTTACAATGGCCTCAGAAAAAGTGCTTGACTACCTGTACTCACACAACTGTCACCCCCCTGCAGTCACATGATCGTGATTTGCGACCTTTTTTAGTTGTTAAGTGAATCACATGGTTGTTAAATTCTGGCAAAAAAGTCTATTAGGGAAGCTGGATTTGTTTAACCATGTGATTTGCTTAACGACTGTGGTGATTAGCTTAATGACCATCATAAAACGGTTGTAAAATTGGTCTGGTCACATGGTGACTCACTTAACAACTACCCCGCTTAATGACCAATTTTCCGGTCCATATTGTGGTCGTTAAGTGAGGACTACTTGTATTGAAAGTGCTAATAGTAAATTATTTGTTTTCTTGTCTATTCATTAAACGTGGTTATTGGGGAAATAAAATGCAGTAAAAAAAATTCATGGTTAAATGGACAAATCAGTATGCATCTTGTACCTGCTATTTGGTTTATGTACTGCTTTTAAAAAGAAGATATTTTGATTAGTTTGAACAGAAACTTAAACTTGTAGTCTAGAAACTTAAACGTTAAACACTTACTAAACTTATTTCCTCTTTTATCCTTTGATAATAAATACTTCAGAAGAGTCCCTCTCCAAGTGTCCCTGCCTGATAAGGCGAGGCGAGTAGCTACAAGAGAAAGGGTCCCTTTACATAATATTTTTTAGTGCCAAATGAATAGTTCTCCTATGTTTCCAGTTATTTTAATAGCCGTATTGTGTGTATGAGTGTGTGTGTGTGTGTGTTTATTTGGCTTATAGCCTGTTCCAGTTGTGAATGACTAAGTGGCACCCCTCCCAATCTTAGTAAATTGAGCCAAAACAATACATAAAAAGAAGAAAAAAATCAGCAATATTACACAGCCTACATATAGACTTGGAATAATCATCAGTATCACCTAAAATCCAGAGGGTACAAGGTCACAACATTCCAACCCCCAAGGCTTGATGGAATAGAAGTATTTTAATAGCCTTCATAAAAAACAGGAGATTTCAGGGGGAATGCTGTGCTAGCCAAGAGCAACAGTGACTGAGAAGGCTCACTTGGAGATGACATGGAGGGACCTGGAGGGAGCCCACTCTACCAGATTTGTTGGATGGGCAAATACTGTTGAGAGCTGATGCTTTCACATAAATATTCTGAGCCATGAAGGTCATTAAAGGTGAAAAACAACACCTTGAGTTAACTCCCAGAAGCCAGCTGGCAAACAGTGCATCTCTCAAAGTGTTCAGTTACATGGATAAATCAGGAGGGTTTCAATAGTCCAAATGAAAGGTTGAGTGACTATGAGTAGAACTTTCAGTTCCAGAATTGTGTTTGTTGCTAATTTGTTATTGTCCTTTTATGCTGTCTTTATTGTTTTCATTGTTGCTTTTCCTGATTTTTATCATTTCTGTGCTGCTCTCCTTTTTTTTGTGTGCGCGAGAGACATGCATGTGCATGGATGTACATATATTTGTATGTGTACACTGTTTCATAGTATATTTTAATTGTCTGGACGCTGCCCATATAACAAGAATTCTTAGATAGAATAAAAATACAGTACATTTAAAAAGTGAACATGTGGAGTTTTATTTAAATCTACTTTCCACAAACTGTATGTGTCTCCTTTTTTGTTATAGTGCAGGATGTGGAAGAACAGGAGCCATCTGTGCCATAGATTACACATGGAATTTGTTGAAAGCTGGGGTAAGGAGGATTTACAGCAATCTACATGCTGAAAAACTAGGTCATCTTATGTGAGTGATTAAAGCTTTATAGACGAAAAGTGAGTTGTATTCCATGTGCAAAACTGAAGATAATTTGGAGAAAAAGCAGACTATTTACTGCTGTCAGGGAAAAAGTAATAGTAATTTTAATGGTTGAAGTACACAGAGTTACAGGAGAAAAAACAATTAAGCCATTTGTAAACGCTCTCCATAACATTTGAAATTAAGTGCTTCTGTGGGAAATCTGTTGCTCCTTTCTGTTGCAGAAAATACCAGAGGAGTTCAATGTGTTTAATTTAATACAAGAAATGAGGACACAAAGGCATTCTGCAGTGCAGACAAAGGTAATCTTGTCTTCGGTGCTGAAATTAACTATATGGCATGATGGTTTTTGTGAAATGGCCACTTCCAAACAATATATGTTAATCCTTGTCTTTATCATGTACACATAGGAACAGTATGAACTTGTTCATCGAGCCATAGCACAGTTGTTTGAAAAACAGTTACAAAAATACGAGAGCTGTGCAGCTTGGAAAATTGCAGATGGATTGGTATGTGGTTTTAGTCATACTTCGTCTATTTTATATATTTTGAAACTGTAGCATTTCCGTGGAGTTGAATTACCTTTGCTTTGTTTAGCCTTGTTTCCTTCGGTGGTAAACAACTTTTTAGATACTGTGAAGGCATGAGTAGAATTCCAGCTGCATTGGATCCAGTTCAACCACTGATACCAATTTGAAGTACTGCATAATTTTAGATTTATTTTTCTTTTATCTTTCTACTTTTACTATTGAAATCCTCAACATGGCTCTTTTGAACTTTGCCTGCAGCAATTGGGTGATGTGATACTTCTGAGACATCAAGGTTTTGATACTGGCATGGCTAGTGTTAAATAAAATTCAGTCATTTAGATCACACAATCTACTTATCTTTATTAGTTTTGTTTTGAAGCTCTCTTTATGTAGTGTCTTAATAGAAACTGGCCTTGCTATGATGTACAATCTTCTCTTTAATTTGCACTTTGTACTGAGTAGGTAAAAATAAAACTGAGTAACTTCTGCAGTAATTGCCTGAATGCTAATTTTCAATTGAAACTACTTTTGACATATTGGAAATAAATATGTCAATAAATAATCTTCAAGTTATATATTGGGCAAAATATAATTGAAGAGTATGTCCTGGTCTGTCTTGTTTTACCTGTGTTTTCTCAAATTTCTTAGACACATTTTATTTCTAGACATCAACAGTTTCAAAGACAGTTGTGCAATATCCAGTTTCAGTGACTAATTCAGGCAAGGTAACCACAGGCAGACAAAGCATTCATCTCCCTTCTGAAATTATTTGGCTTAGAGTTACCACATTAATGAGTTCTTAAAGCTTCTGAGTTTCTCTAGTCTGAGACATAAACAGTGAAATCCTGGTGAAGAACTCTTATGCTTTAGTCATCAGTGAATATATTGATGCTATGCTGAAACTTCCCATGATGTACTTTAATCTTAGAGCTTTAAAACCCCTAAGCAGTTTTCCAGTGGCTAATACCTTTTACTTGAGTTCTCCATGCATTCTAGAGAACATAAAGGAGGTGCCCGTCTCATCATGCTGGTTCTGCAGAAGCACTGTGAAATGCTTGTGGGGTCTCTGCATCTTGCAAAAGTCTACTATAAAAGAAGCCATCATTGTTGCTTCCTCAGGCACTTGCAAAGCATGAGTGAGAATGACAAGGGTTTTAGCTATTTCTAGAGATGATAGAACATTATGCATTTGTGGTATTGGAGAGGTATTGGAAAGAAAAAGAACTCCATAGGTAAGGTAAAGCACTTCCTCTTCCCCCAGTCTCTCTCAGTAGGTGCCTGAGAAACTTTAGAGAAGACGACAGCTGTAGTAGCAATCTTTTGTGTGACACCCTGTCTTATGCAAAATAAACAGGGAGAGGATCAGACCATTTACTCTTTTTCTCAGTTTTTTGTAATTCACTGAGATCACAAAGCTAGGAAGAGTTGGGGCTGACCAAAATAGCTGATTTGTAAGTCCAAACAAAACCTAAGTATCTCTACGTAAGTGGCATTTTCTATGCTCAATTCTGTCATTTTGTTGTTGTCACCAAAGAACAATATTGAGGCCACTTATCAATCACATCCTTATTTGTTGCAATTACTATACTGGCATTTCCTTGGATTGGGAATTTAGAAAAATGATACTCAAGGGATCAGTTCTACTCAATATGACATTTTAAAAGATTTGGTTTATATATTTATAGCTAAACATAAAATAAATCTTTCAAAATGAAGAAATGAGCTAAAAATCCTTGTCCCTCACCCCTCCAGTTACCATTTTGTCAGTGCTTGCTCCAACATTCTTGACAGCTAAAAAGAATTTGGGGAAAAGTGCAGACCTCTGTTACAAAAGGTTGGTTGCCTCTGGTTTTAGTGCAAGAATTTTATTTGTGTGTATTTTATTATACTTTTCCCCAAAAATATGACATTATAAACGTGTTAGTGATATTTCAATATTTTTTCCCCATCATTAGATTGGCAATCAGTATATCTAAAAATGTCTTCTAAGATTTGGGTTGACTTCTAAATCAAATCAAATATTTATTATGGTCATAGACCAGCATATAACTTCTAATGATACTTTAAATCCCATTGGCTATTTTGTTAGCAAAAATAACTAATATTGTTCTGATTGTAGAGAGTATGCTCCAAGATTGTGTATGAATAAAGTAACCACCTTTTAGAAAAAAAGGATCCCAATTTCTTTTTGTTGCTGTTTCTAAATCCTATTTTTTAAAGTAAACTTCAGTCAGTGTAGGGCGGAGCTAGATTTCATAATTCTGTGCTACTGGAACAATTTTTTATAAGCTGCACGCTGGTTTATAAGCATATAATTACCTTTTCAAAATTACTAGATCAAGTTTTGGTAGCAACTTAATGTATTGTGCTTCAAAGTGATTTTCCTTTAATGTAGTTATGGAAATACAATAAATAATATTTGTATGGGCAAATAGGCAATCATTTGGCTAAAGCAAATTATTTCCTATAATGCCAATATCTGTTCTGCCCCACAATGGATGAAGTCATCATTAGAGCATGTATGACAAATCCTTAAGATGTTTTGGAGTGCCAGAAGCAAATGTTAGGAGACTTTCCTGAATGGGATTGGTTGAATGCTGCATTTGGTAGCTTTAACCATACAGTGCACTTAATCATACTTTGCAATTTAAGCTTCTTGGCTTGGTTTCCCCCATAATCTCTCCTTGCTCTACATAAACTCTTCTGTTACCTGTTCTTCTTGATCCTTCTTCCAAATTCTCAGTTTGCTATCTTGAAACTTGCTTTAAAAATCACTACTACAATCTCTATTCCTTTATGGCTTTTTAAAAACCCATTCTGATTTGTAATATTTTACTTTCAGATTAATACCTCAACAAAAACCTGTTTACTTTCATTTTCCATGAATAAATATCTGATTAAATTTGATCTGAATTAATTTGTAAGGTTCATCAAGTAACAGATTTTATGATGGGATAGGAATTGTTAAATATTAAAAGTATTAAAATATTGATTCAACTCTGTTGATTTTGAGCTCTGCCACCTTCACCATTTACATTGTTTTTGTTCTGGCCCAATTTCTATCTATTACATACAGTATGCTAAAGACCAGGGATATGGAACCTTGGGCCAAAGGATCTCTCTGTACATGTCCCATACAGTGTTTAATCATGTTCACACAACATGCTAACCATGGCTGGCTTAACATTTACCAAAGTCAGAAAATTCACTCAGGAAGCGTGGCTCAGATGGTACAATAAACTACAGCTTGGTATGCTACATTAGTTTTTTTCCATTGTGGTCAATATCTCCACCACCATTGTGCTGTCCAGCATTTCCTGGCCTTTTAATTATACAGAGAACATTTGTGGACTGACTGAGGATGGAGCTTTCACATGTAGGATGTGGGAGGCAGCACAGAGATTCCAGGAATACAGTTCCAATCTACCTGGAGAATGCAAAGTTGGAGAAGGCTGCTCTCAGTGGATTTGGACCAAGTATCTTAAAAACCAACTGCTCCCACATGAAACATAGCTCTGAACTTCCTCTCCTCTGAAGTCAGATTAGTATCAGCATGGATGCAGGTCTGTTTGATGGTGACTCCCATTTTGTGAAATGCTTCATCACCTGAGGCTTGTTTTAATTTTCAGGCTAAAATTGAGACCTAGTCTATGGTTTATCCAGTGTTAATTAGAGGTTTTATTTCTTCTCATTCCTTGGATTTATATTTTATTGTTAGTCATTTTGCTTCTTGGTAGGAAAATAAGATAAAACATAGTTTAAGTTAAAAATTCATTCTGGAAATTATTTACCCTACTCTCTTTGTTCATTACAGTTTTCCTTGAAAATTGCTTTCTTAACTGTTAGGTTTTGAAAATCTCAATTTGTATCAGTGGAGGCTTAAAGACTTTCCTGAAGTAGAAGCTGAATGTACAGTGTATGTTTTGTGTATTCAAAAGTGTGAGGTGGCCCCATACAATTCTTGCAGGACCTCCACCTATTTTGGTACAGGATCCTTAGAAGGCTCTCCAAAATGGCACATGCTGAAACTGAAACACATCCTCGTTATACAGTGATATGACAAGCTATGTCTCCTCCCCCTTACCTTCAGGGATCTCCATTAAGTAACATGTAGTTTTAGATATGACATGAACATTGTCCCATTACCACTGGGGATTAGTGTTAGCACTTGTTCTTTTACATCATTGATATCAGAATTTCAGGTTCATTGTACTGAAATATTAAGCATCCATGTTGCCAAAAAAATTCCCAACAATTTTGAGCAACACTGTGATTCAGAGCAACTGTACTGAATTAAATAATTAGAACTATCAGAAATGGATAGTGTAGTTACACCTTTTAAAAAATGTCAGCAGTGACATTGCCAGAGCTGTGTCCAAAAAGTGTACAGCAGGTTACCACAAAGCATTTTAATTTGAATAGTAATGTTTGGGTTTATATCAGAAAACAATTTCATTTGAATGCATGCATTCACTGCATAAATGTGTCACTGGAAATGTTGGGAATATATGCAGAGGAGCCTTTTTGTGAATGGAATAGTGGCTCACAATTTAGTGTCAGATCCTTGTGAGAAGAGCACTGAGATCTAGTGGGATGTGGTTACTGGTTCAAGGTCAGGGAATTGCAGAATCTGCATTAAGGCTATGTTGTGCCTATTGCCTTCTAGATTTAGTGCAACATATTGCAAAAGAATCCCTATTAAACGGAGCCCTATGGAATTATAGTATTCAAACTTTCATAATGTTTTCTATTCTCATTCTGTTTCTAGAATGTTAATTTAATTCCTGTTTGTGGGTGAGGCTCTTAAAAGTTTGAATAAAATTCCTTGGGATTTTATTCTTTTGACAGAATGAAGTTAACACAGAGAACACCATCAGTTCTGGAGACCTTGAGAAACAGGATTCTCCTCCCCCCAAGCCACCTCGAACTCGCAGGTATTTTTTAATCAACTATTGATCAATTTTTATTTTTTAAAAATCTGTTCAGTCGTGTCTGATTCTCGGAGACTGCCTGGACAAGTCCCTGCAGTTTTCTTTGCAAGGTTTTTCAGAAGTTGTTTGCCATTGCCTGCTTCCTAGGGCTGAAAGAGAGGGACTGGCCCAAGGTCACCTGGTTGGTTTATGCCTAAGGTGGGACTATAACTCATTTAAAACATGAAAACATGACAATAAAAACAAGAACCAAAAAAGGGATAGAGATGGCAGAATAACAAACTGGGTGGAAACAAAAGAAAACAGCCTAAATTAAGGGGCTTCAGTCATCCCCACCAAATATATTCTTTTAAAGTCTGCCACAAGAGGGCATGACATTTCTGCTGTTTCTAAAACTAAAATTAAAATATGCAGTGGAAGTAAATGGATGTTGGTAATTCCCAGAGGCAACAAGATCCATCCCTTTTTTTTTTTTGGTAACATATTATATATTGTCTTGTTCTTCAGCATCTTTGGTCTTTCTGATCTGACTTTTATTTAAGTATCAAACATACAGATTAAGACTATTGGAAGGAAGTAGGATTTCAGAGGCTTTCACCATTATACAAGGTGTTGAATCTTAAAATCTCCTTATACTTAATTGCAGCTATAATCTGTTTTATCTCATTCTGCATGTGTGTGTGTATGAAAAATACTTATTACAGTATTATCATAATTGTTTCCAGTTGCCTTGTTGAGGGAGATGTAAAAGAAGAAATTTTGCAGCCTCCAGAGCCTCATCCAGTACCTCCCATTTTAACACCGTCACCTCCTTCAGCCTATCCAACTGTTACAACCGTTTGGCAAGACAATGATAGATACCATCCAAAGCCTGTTTTGCACATGGTTTCTTCAGAGCATTCAGCAGACCTCAATGAAAATTATGATAAATCAACTGAATATTCAGGGAAGAATGAACTCTCTGAGCATGTAGATAAAAAGCTGGAACGCAACTTGAGTTTTGAAATTAAAAAAGTGCCCCTTCAGGAAGGACCACGAAGCTTTGATGGAAACCCTCTTCTAAGTCGGGGAAATGCACTTAAAATTAAACCAAGTGCATGTAGTACAGTGGATATGACCTCTAAAACACAGGAGTGCGGCTCAGGAGATGCACCTACGGAGCCTGTGCAAAACACTTGCATAGAATACAATATGCAGCCAGTTAATCAAGTTGTAATATCTTCCCTGGAAGGACATCAGTGTCTTACAACTTCTGATGCTCTGGAAAGACCAGACTGTTTGCCCCTTAAAGAGAAGGGACATGCCATGTGGTCATTACAAGAAACTAAAAATGAACAGCCAATATCAGAGGATGCATCTTCATCTGTTTTATGTCATGAAATTAAAAATCTGTATGTAGACTCAAATGTGCCAGTCCAAATGGACACCCCTTCCAGTGAACCAGCAGTTTTTTATCACAGCGGCGTGCTCTCAGTTAGAGCACCTCTTTGTTTTACAAATCCTCTGCATTCTGATGATTCTGATACAGATGAAAGAAACTCTGATGGGTCCATGGCACAAAGCATGTCTAATGTTTCTATTGCAAGTGCCACCGTTTCTGCAGCTGCTAATACAGAAAACATTTCTGCTAGAAAAGTATTGCCAATGTCCATTGCCAGACAGGATAATCCAGTCATAATGCATTCTAAATCTGATAAAGGTAAGTTGTGTTAAATTTTATTTATATGAATTAGGAAAAAATGAAAGGGTTGGGAGTAAAGATTGTATAAACCAGGTGTTAAGCAACTTCCTTTGTCCTCTTTCCCAGGCATCTAGCATGTATACTGTGGCATGGAAAGGCAGAAACTTCTAAAATTGGGAAGAGTCATTTTGCACAGGCTATCTCTGTCTGATATCACTAACTGTATTTATGAAGTTTTACGTATGGTTTACATTTTACTTGTGAGCATCCCCAATCCTAATCTCCATCTCCAGAATGCTTAGTTGCTGTAAAATATTTGGAGTATGAGCATATCAGTTTCCTCCCTCTTAAAATATATAGTCAATGTCTGAAAATCCTGTAAGCTAGATTCTTGGTGACACATGGCTTTAGATTTAAAAATTTATAACGTGATACATTTCCTTAAGGACTCTCCACATATGTATAAATAAGCAGCACTTTCTGTTCATGAGAAAGATGGCTGAGTTATATTTGTAGATGGACTGCCCCTATCTCTGGCAATTAAGCTTTTAAAAACCATTGGTGCCATTTAACAATTTAAAAAAGGCATTGTTGCATAGATTATTTTCCAGAGTCGAAAGAGCTGCTATGAAGGAAAAGGCTCATTCTTCCTGTGTGCAGCATCCATTGTAGGCTTTAGTGCATGCGTGATACATCCACAGGAGGATATTCCTATGAAATGTGGCTGCCAGAATTCTCAAATGAGTTTCTGATTTACTTTAAAGCAAACTGTGAAATATATATTCTTAACAGAGGTATAGTACAAACCAAGAAAGAACTGTTCTCTGTCTTTGACTCACTGAACTGGTTCATCATGTGCAAGTGATACAGATGTATATATCCATAAAACCTTTACTCTTCAACTGTTTTAGCTTGTCAGACCTCTTCATAATTGTATCTGAGAGCTCTGATTGGATATTAGCAAAACATATTTGAAAACACAGCCTCACATTTAATTCCAAGACTTTATGAAAACTAGAGCAAAGAGGTTGTGCTATTTTTATAAGGAATGTTCATATTTACTGTCTGAAAATAGTGTGATCAGGATGGAATCTTCCTAGCCATTGCAGTTTAACAGGGATAGTCTCTTTTTAAATCAAGAACAGTTATAATTGTCTGTTGAGCAGTCACATTAGATGCGTCTTATTGGATCCTGTTAAATGGATTCTGTATGACTGATTTGTAAGCTTCTATATGAACTTTCATTTGAAAGACAACCAGATGCCAGGAATTAGTTATTTTAATTCTGCCTGATACAGCATTCTGCATTAGTATAAATGTTGGATATTTTCAGCAAATTCTAGAAACTGATTTTAATACTCTGACAAATCTGGCACATCTACCTGGAAATTAATCTGTCACCAAATTGCATGACTCATGGCAGTTTATGACAGTACACAATAATGAACTGTGAAATCAAAAAATAATGTAAAAAATAGCATGCCTAAATACACCAACTATAGATTCCATCAATACAAGTAGCTTTAAGTACTAATGGCCCTATGGAACAGCTGTTTCTATTGGTTTGTGAACGATTGTTAATGTCTGTACTAGTCCAGTGGGACTGGCAGGGGAAGCTGTTCCATTAAGTGGGGATCATAATTGAGAAACAAGACCTTCAGGCCCCTTAATCATTTTACCTCTCTCAGGTTTAGGATTAATAATCTCCCCTGTTGGGTTGAGCACACTAGACAGGATTGTTATGGCAATTCCCATTCCTTGTCTGTCTTAAAACATGCCTAAATATAACTAATTTGATTATTAGCTTGGTTAAAGGTCTGTGTCTGTCTGTGAAACTTACTGTAGTTTTATTCTATTCCAGTTATTAAGTGACATCTTGCAAAGTGAGTTAGTAAATCAGATTAGGGATCTGAATACATTATGGTTAATCCACTATTTTTTATTTATTGTGCACCATGCTCTTAGATAATAAAGGGATATTATAGGAGGCATCGCTCTGAAGTTTATTTGATTGATACTTTACAGAATACCTTACTTAAATATTTAGGTGATCTAAATGATGTTTCACTGCAGTTCTGCTCACTGATGGTTTTATTCAACTTAAATGCAGGTGCAATTGATGATTTTTCTCCTCCCTTACCAGAAAGAACTCTGGAATCGCTTGTGCTTGCAAGTCAACAAGGTAAGTTTATATTATACTTGACGTAAAAACCATGAATCAAATGCATATACCAAAAGGCAGGATTGGGGTTATGTAGCAGTCCACCATGGGGGAATGACACTTGCATATTCATTTATTTAGTTGCTGGATTATTGCTTCTATTGAATATATCATGTGCAATCTTTTGAGGCGACCTGTGTTAAATAGTCCCTGTTGCTTCAGCTAGTAGAGCCTTTCCTGCAGCTTCTGAGCACTGCCCCGCATTTATTCTCCTTTTCTCAGTTCTTGAAAAGTTAAATTAGGAAGCAGAGCCCCATGTTTGGCCTCCTCACTATAGCTTTGTTTACTTTTAAAATGTAATTGCTGATGTATTAATAAGGTTATTTTTATTCATGTTTACTTTTTAAAAAATGTATTTAATTTTTAGTCACAGCTTTGCCAAAAAGTACTGTTCTTCAACAGCCTGCTGAATGGAATTTGTTACAAGACCAGAAAACTTCTGAACAACCAGAATGTACAGTAAGTATGATAATATAGAGAACAAAACTCACAGCATATGAATAAGGTATTCATAAAGTTCTTTGGGAATATGCCTTCTGGATGTGTGTGTGTGTGTGTGTGTGTAAATAAATAAGTGTCTGTTATTTGGCAGCTTCCCAAGTAATCACTTGATTTATGAACTCAAAACCAAACTGTAGTATGTAAGCTACGGAATTTTGTTGTGTTTACTTACAGGTAGCAGAAATTTTTCCAACCACCCTGTTTTACTTATGAGAGCTGGCATCACCAAAATTGGTTTTTTGTTGTTGTTACCTTCCCTGCATTTACTATGCACATTTTTTGAAAGCAAAACTATTACAGAAAACATTTTTTGTATGGGTAGGAACTTGAGAATACTGCAGTTGTTGCTCTCTGTTGATTTATGGAAGAAAATACCTGTAGTGTATTATTATGATTTTTTTCATAGAGTTTAATTATGGAATTTTAAGACTGATCCCTTTGAGTAAAAGGTGAATTGTGAAGTATGATAGAAGTGCATGATGCAGTTGGTTGTCTTGCCATAACAGTACATAGTATTTCAGTTGACTAGATCAATACTGGACAACTGAGTCCAAGCACATTGTTATATAAGGATGAATTGGAATCTGGCAATTCCCAGATTCCTTGGAAAGTGCTGACACTTGTTTATTTGAGAATAATATTCTGGCAGCAGACTGCTTGTCTATCTCCTTTGTGGAAAAAGAAATAATTACCCCATGGCTTTTACTGTGGAATCTAGAGTTCCTGTAGATGGAACAGGAGGAGAACCTATACTTTCTCTAATGTCAAAACTTGTTCCAGAGACTTCCTTAACTTTTTTGAGTATGCATTAAAGAGTTGTAGGGTTAAAGGACAGAAGAAGAGAGTCCTGTTGAGTTAGTGTTACTGTATCTTTGATACCATGATGATGAGATAAAATATAGCTTTAATGTTGGGCAGTGTTGGGCTTCACGGTTTAGTGACTGTGGTCTAGAGAACAGATTTCCTGATGTTTCACTAGCAATTGTGGCTGGCATCATCACAGGTAACTGAGCAGGGACTGACTGGGCTACTGCCTTTATGCCAGGGGTTGTGAAATCTGTTCTCTAGATCACAGTGACTAAACCCTGAAGCCCAACACTTACTGGTCATGAAAGCCTACACCGTCGATCAATCAAATCTTTATTACAGTCAAAGACCAGCATAAGGAGGGTGGGATACAGTCAATTAAAAGGCACAGAAAATGAATCAGAGTAATAATAAAAAGCTAAAAGATACAAAACAGAAAGTAGGAATCTAAAAGGAGTAGGAACATTAGATGGGTGTAGGGGAGCATAAAGGTTAGTACATGGCAAACTGTATCAAATTACAGAGCACTCTAGTATTACAAATTAGATGCTAATTAAGACTAGTTTATGGCACAAGTCATCATCTGATGAATTTTAATTACTGCTGCACAGAACCTGGCAACATTGTATGTTGTAGAAAGCCTACACCAGTTTATTGTAGCTTTCATCTTAGATATTTATATCCATTTGTCTACCCCTCAATCAGCCCAACACTGAGTGCAAGAATATATAATGGGGAGTCCTTAGTGCTGTCTAAGCTTGCTTGTTTGTCTGTAGATGTTTTATCACTCAACTAGATAACATCATCAGTGCGAGTGAGTGTGGGTTTGCTACCTGTTTAGTTAAATGGCAGGACAAGCTACGGTATATAAACAGGGAGCAAACCCCACACTTACTCACACTGATGATGTTACCTAGTTGGGTAATGAAATGTCTGCAAACAAGCCCAGAGAGCACCAAGGATTCCACAGTTCAACCCTGAGCTACATATATTCTCTTCTATTGGAATATATAATGCTTTTGATTTCAGTGTGGCATTTAGCTCTCTCATCTGAAAACACAGTTCTTATATGTATCTTTATGTTAACAGGGAATGAAAATGACTGGGTCTTCACAACTTGGTAAGCAGTTTCTCATTTAAGAGCTTACAGAATATTACTGCTAATAAAATTAAATTCAGACTGTTGTGGGTTGAGAATTGTGTAATTACAGAACTATAGTATATGGAATCAGTCAACTTTTGGTGCATGAGTAAAAAGCATTTCCACTTTTACATGGAAAGAAAAACTACTGTTACTAATCCCTAAGGCCTTACTGGGTGAAGCTCTGGGAACTCTGAATGGAAGTGTGGAGGAACACTGTATGAGTAGAGCAGCTACTTACATTGGTTTGGTCAGTATTGGTTATAAATAGCAACTGCCTATAAGAAAAATATAGCTAGGTTGGGTTAGCCCTAGTGATAGGAATATTTATTTACTTATTTATTTGATTTGATTTAGGTACCACCCAACTCCAGCTGACTCTGGGCAGCTCACAATATATTACCATAAATATACAGTACAGACCAAAGCCAGATGGAACCCAGTTACTATATGCAGACAGAAACAAAAATAACAATAATGCACCCAACAAGGGGCCCCACCCAGCTAAACCCAAGGTTTGGGAGGACCAGAATATAGTAAGGGAGTAGAATTAGTTAAATTACAGGTAGTCCCTGCTTAACGACCATTCGTTTAACAATGGTTCAAAGTTACAGTGATCTTGGAAAAAGTGCTTTACAACCTGTACTGGCACTTAAGACCCCATGGTCATGTGGTCACAATTTGCAACCTGTTTTATGATGGTTGCTAAGCGAATCACTGTGGTTGTTAAACGAATTCTGGCAAAAAATGTCCATTGGAGAAGCTGGATTCATTTAATGATCACATGATTCGCTTGATGGCTGTTGTAAAAGGGTCGTAAAATCAGATCCTGTCGTGACTCACTTAACCACCCTGGTTAACAACCAGTTTTCAGCAACAACCTGTTATGGTTGTTAAATGAGGACTACCTCTATTTCAATTTTGCTTAGTTTCTCCATTTCCCAGTTTTACCTATTTCTGCATAAGTTTGTAATTTTAAAATATGCCAGTTTAACTCATTTTACAGTACCTTTCCTAAATTGCTGATTTCTGAAAGCAGTTTTTCCAGAATGTTTTAAAATGCATTACAAAAATTGGGAATATAACAAAGAATAATTGAAATTGAGTTTACCTATTTGATAAAGTGCAAATTCAGTAAGCCCATATTAAACTACGAACCAAAGAAAGCTGTCTGTTGCAAAATGTGAGAGATTCCTCCAGGCTGTCATTGTACTACAATACCAAAGTACTGAAACTCAGACTAAATTCTGCTGTTCTACAAAAAAAAGAAGAAGAAGAAAAAGCTGAAAGATGAGTCTCCCACACTCAAATTATGGCTTTATTTAGATTTCTTATTATATTCACATTTTACTAGGCTTTGCTGTTCATTACGCATTCTTGGCTCCTGGTCGTACTTGTTACTTCCTTTATGAAACTTGCATTGACAAATAGAAAGATGATGTTCATTTTGAGGTGGTTATGAGATCTAATTAAAGTAAAAAAAAAAAAAGATGAACACATGCTCTAGAAGTTTCTTGTTCACAAACCTACCCACCTTTCAATGCTATTCATTTCTTGCAAAATTGGTACTTGACCTCCATATGACCATGATGCTGTAAGAAATGAAACACCTTTGCTTGCAGAAGCTCATGGTATTTCATGGCTTCTCATGTGAGACTGAGGATATTCTTAAAATTCATTAGCATTTATTAATCAAATTTTCCTTTATAAAAAAGGAAGTATTTTGTAACTTAAGGAATACATTATCCAGTAAGTTACATTGTGTAGTAACACTAAATTGTGCAACCCTGCTTACTAGTGAAACAAAAATGCTTTTTTATGTAAGGAATTTTTGCTTGGCATTCAAGCTAAATGTCTAGATATTAAAATCTAGATATCTACAATATCTGGAATATTACACATATGAATTTAGATACTAAAATTTAGTTTTGAAAACTGTCCTTTATTAATGATTTCCTTTTTACAGATAGCCCAGAACTAGGAGACAAATCCCAGACTGATACAATACCTCAACCATCTTCCTCCAGTCCAATTCCTAAAAGACAGCCATCACCAGATGTTGCATTTGAGACTACAGATATTGGTAAACTGCTGATTACTATTCTACCTGGGCAAATTTAATGAAAAATAGCATTATCTGTTCTTGTGTCCATTATATTTAAATTGTGCTTGTTTCCTTGTTGGCTTCAAGACAGTGTGAGATCCATCCATCCAAGCCCTAACCTAGATCTTTTTGCAGCGAGAAGCTGCGTCATGTTGACCCTCAGAGAGTATCTTCTTAGGGGTGCAAATATATATATATAGATACTAAATTTAAAGATTTATAGAAAATTAATTTTCAAGCAAGAATATTCTCTGGAAGTCAAGGGTAAAATATTTTAGTTTTAGTACCCCCTCCAATCAGACATAAGTATAATAAAACAAAATTAACCTGGATGTGGTTTAGTGAAAAACAGAATATTTACTTAATTTTAGAAATTACTGCCATTTATACAATAAGCCTTTCATATATCTAATCCAAAATTTACAGTTTTTCAGCTCTTCTTCCTCAAGTGCCTGACAGACATTCAGTGACAAAAATGTTAATTTTTATCAGCTTGATTTTTGGTTGGGTTTACTTACTTTCCCATAGAGAAGCCACTGACATCAGTTACTAGGTGAACAGATGTGCTTGAGTTATGCTATTTCTGTTTCTTTTGATCTTTTGGTTGTTACATGAGGTCTCCTACACCTCATACGTAGCTATTTGAAAATAATACCTTGTCACAGAAATAGCATGTGCTAGATTTGCTACAATAGCATGAAAAACTGGAAATATTTCTGCAATTTAGCTAAATGTGTATTGTTAGTGAGGTGCCTTCTTCAATGGATTTGTACTCTTTTAGGGTTTGGTAACCGTTGTGGAAAACCAAGAGGACCAAGGGAGCCACCTTCAGAATGGACATGATGCAAGAACAAATAATACACATATTAAATTATACTGGAATATTCAAGTGCCACTGAACAAGATCCATAGTATTCCAACGCTTTATTTTTTGGAACTAACAGTGTACATATACACAATGGTACACTTTTGTATACATCTACACAAATATTAAAGATTCAAAATGGTGGATTCTATACTTCAATCCTAACTTTTTGCTGGGGCCATCAATCTGCCTTATTACATTTTAAAGAAGTATTACTTATGGTTTGTTACTTCAAGTATTATTGCCTTAATGTCTTTTAAACCTGTTAAACACTGTTTATAGACATGTTAATATGGTGAAACCTTTGACAAATTGAGTTTATGGACACCCTTTTTGCTAATGTTTGATTACCATGTACATTTTATTTTGTGTATGTACAGGGCAAGCAGGTATATAATTTGATAAAGCTGCAATCATAAAGTATTAACAGAAGGTGTAAGAAATCTCTGCATGAACTAAAGTTGTGTACCTTGTAAATTATTTGCCCTAATGTTTTAGAAAATAGTTTGTTTTTTTAAAAAAAATGTTGGGTGCACATTCAGAATTACAGAATAGCAGAGATGAAGATTATAATACATTTTGTAAATTGTAAGCAAAAGGTTATTTTTATATTATATACTGTTTAACTGTCAGTCCTAATTTGTCCTGGTTTTCATCTAGTCACTGATATTCCGTAAGTGCCTTGAAAGACCAGATTTTTAGCATGAACAGGTTACATATTGAGACTAGTGTTATCAACATATTTGAACTGTCAGTAAAAGAACATTTTAAACTCCTTTAAGTTATCCTTTATATTGTATTTCAATTTAAATTCTTAGAATTCTCTAAAGGAAAGCCTTGGTAAGTATCATCAGGATTAAAGTTACAATAACTAATGGTGCTAGTAAAATATTTTCCCCAAGATAGCAAGTTTTATGTAAAAATTTGAAAGTACCCAAAATTCTTATGGCATCAGTCTTTCTTGACAATCTTTACTGTCAAGTTCCCTAAGGGTCTGCTACAAATTTGTTTCAGCTTCTGTAGTATAGAATCTTTAAATTAAGAAATGAATTTAGGGACTATTCACGTATATTCCAGTAGAAGTAGCATTACTGACTTAGGACTTAATGTTCTTCCAGTTATAAAATTATAACTTTTTGTTCCAAGCGCCTCCCCTGCCCACCTTCGATTTGCATGCTAGTGGTCACACCCTAAGAATAGCAATTAAAACTAAAGTACTTAAATATAGTTGACTCTTACTCTTCTTCATTATAAACTGATGGTAATTTTTGAAGGCTAACAAATCTCAAATAATATAATGGTCAGGATTTCTAAAATTGTTACTTGTATTAGCAAGCAGTCCTTTTCCCTTACAAACTTAGTTTGAACTGTAATGTTCAGAGAACAAGTTCTTTAGAAACATGAATAGTTTGAAATACAGTATGGCGCTCATTTTCCACTGTGACTTTGGCTCTGCTATAGTGTAACACATGCTGTTACTAACCTGATGATTCAAAACTACTTATTTTATTGAAATATCCAGAAATGCGTATATGTCTATCTCTCTCTCCCACACACATATCACTTAGGAATCTTAGCCTAGATAGAAGCTATGTTGTATAAGGAGAAAAATAAACAAGGCCAGAATTTACAGAAAATTAGTTTTATTGTGAGTGAAACACTCCTCTGTAAATCAACAATGTGTCTCAGGGGCTTTCAGTCTTTTGCTGCTAGTAGAGGATTGGGTTCTATCAACTATAATTTCCAAACCGGATTATCTGCAAAGCTCAGTAGGCAGAATGGAACAGTTTTGCCACTGGAATGATTGGCTTAGCCGTTCTTCATGACTGAAACCTGAACTTAAGCGTACTAATGCAGGGCATGCAACTTTTTGTGTGGCTGGGAGCTGCATCTCAAAAAATAGAGGGGGCATGTAAAATCAAGGTAGGTGGAGAGGGAATATGCTACGACCAAAAAATGTGGAAATGGATTTCCCCCCCCAAGTTTCTTGGGTTTCTTGTATTGAGACTAATGTGCTTATTTTTTTCCTCCAGCAAAACCTGGTGGGAAATAATTTTTTTTTTTTTTTTTGGCGATTTGCTGCTGAATTAGTGCAGTTCTTGGTGTCAGCAAAAAAAAACAAGAACAAAAAAGTATGGTGTAGGATCTTGATGTGTGCTGTCTTATCTGTGTATGCAACTGATATTTCAGCAGCTTGTTATGAGTTTTGCACTACTGTTTAAAAACAAATTCATTGCTAGCTTGCCTCTGAAAATATATCCTGGAAAAGCACAATATTATCACAGGAATATAGGGCATCTGTCATAGTAACATGTCAACTTTATTACCTCCGTACAAAGTCCAAGTAAAAGTCATTTAGTATATCCTTCTTCCTGAATTTTCCAAGTGGAATTTTAAAAAATCTTATTGGGAGTATACATCTACAGTGGTGCTTAAAAGTTTGTGAACGCTTTTGCATTTTCATTATTTCTGCATAAATATGACCTAAAACGTGATCTGTTTTCCACACAAGTCCTAACATTGGATAAAGAGAACCCAATTAAACAAATGAGTCAAAAACATATTTGTTCATTTGCCTTGAATGCTGAGATAATACACTTTGGAAAACTGTATACAGTGCTGTTGCTAACTTTTTACACTGGCAGTACAGTTCACTTTGAAAATGTCCATGATTCTGCTTACAGAATAATCAACTCAATTTTTTTAGGATATGAAACATAATAAAAGATGGTATCATTGCACATTGTGTATTTAGAACAATGTGCCACCTCCAAAGTGCTGATAAAAAAAAGTCTCAAGACAGTTTTAATTCTAAAATAAAAATACCCCCATATCCGTACCTTCTCATGAAACACAATGGTTATTTCTAAATGCTTCTATAGTGGGGCAAAAAAGTATTTAGTCAGCCACCAATTGTGCAAGTTCTCCCACTTAAA